TAGTGGGGTGGGGAGGGAATGGGGATTTTGCAGTATCCTTCCCCTGCCACGCCCACCAAGCCATGCCAGGCCCACCAAGCCACAGAACTGATAGTAAAAAAAAAAATTGAATCCCACCACTGGAATCAACCTAGAACTAAAGAGAAATTTCATGACAGCGAGAACAATTAATCCGTGGAACAACTTGTGAATTCTCCAATACTGGAAGTTTTTAAGAAGAGACTGGGCAGTCATTTGTCTGAAATGGTATATAGGGTCTCCTATTCACACAGGGTTGGACTAGAAGACCTCCAAGTTCCCTTCTAGCCCATTTATTTTCTATTCTCTTAACTTTTTTTCTTTTTGTCAATTCCGTATTCATTTTATTGATTAAAAGAGTGCAAGCCATTTTCACCTAAACTTTTACAGTTTTTAAACTTTACCGTGTACAAATGGGTATTTCTGTTTAAGGTATAACACTCAGGAGAAGATAAATACACCAGGATACATGAAATAATAGGCATATAGTTATAAACCTGCTTTTAAGGGACCAGCCAAATTTAAGCTTAAAATCAGAACATCTTCAGTAGCTTAAATACAATGAGAAAAGGCTACTTTCAAGCAGCCAGAACTGGACTGATTCTGTAATTTTGATTCTTTTATTTGGTCTTCCTTAGCCATTTTATAGAATTGATAAAGCCCACACTGCTTTCATCAATTCTTGACAGTAGGGGGCACTCCATTTCCATCATATGAACCATTCGGGCCATGTCACCGAAGGGCGTAATAAAATGAAAGGATGACAGTGCCTCTCATTTAAAATCTTTCACAGTAATTTTAGATGCAATCAAAGGTGGGTGGGGTGGTTTTTTTTGTTTTGTTTTTTTCCCTTCCCAATTTGGTATTTGCTATAACAGTATTTCTTTTTCCACTTAAGCTCTTTCTTTGTCAAAACAAGGCCCATTAAATCAGGGAAGGCACTAAATATTTATGAATTAATTACATTCAAAAGGAAACCTAAGAAGCTTTAGAAGGTATCCGTGGCTAGTCCCTGTTTTACAGGTGCAGAGAACCCGTAGCCATCCCAGGATTGTGGATCTTCCAACTCCCAGTAACTCATCCAGTGTGGCCAACGACCAGGGGGGAAGAAAAAAATATGGGAATTGTAATCCCACATGTGGAATGTCTTGCGTTGCCCTCCCCTCTCCTTTGGCTTGTGCGTGCATGTCTGTGCACACGTACAGGCACACTCAGCGTACACAAGGACATTGATCCCCCCATAATTTTCACGCTAAATTTTTGGCCGATGGGAGTATTGTGTAATTATTTCTGTTTGTTTTTTTTATCCTGCTGTTCTGGCAGGTTGTCAGAAGAGAGGCTTTAGTTTTCTCAGAATACACCTCCAGGATGCATCGTATAGGAAGTTCTCGACTTATAACCATTCGTTTAGGGACCGCATTTAGGGAACAGCACTGAAAAAAAAATTACTTTGCATTTATGACCACACGGCATTTGGCATGTATTTATGACAGTTGCACTGTCCCATGGGTCATTTGATCTTGTATAAACTTCGAAGCCAGATTCGCTTATAATGACTGCATGATTCATGGAGCAACTGCAGTGATTCGCTTAACAATTGTGGCAAAAAAAAGGTTGTAAAACAGCAATAGCAGCTAGACTTATATACCGCTTTACAGCCCTCTCTAAGTGGTTTACAGAGTCAGCATTATTGCCCCCAACAATCTGGGCACCTCGTTTTATCAGATAAGATAACAAGATAATCAGAGTTGGAAGGGGCCTTGTAGGTCATCTAGTCCACCACCCCCGCCCAAGCAGGAGACCCTACACCATTTCTGACAAATGGCAGTCCAATCTCTTCTTGAAAGTCTCAACTGATGGCGCTCCCACAACTTCCGAGGGCAACTTCTGTTCCATTGGTTGATTGTTCTCACTGTCAGAAAGTTTCTCCTTATTTCCAGGTCGAATCTCTCCTTGATCAGTTTCCATCCATTATTCCTTGTCTGGCCTTTGGGTGCTTTGGAAAATAGCTTGACCCCTTCCTCCCTGTGGAAGCCCCTCAAATATTGGAAGACCGCTATCATGTCTCCCCTGGTCCTTCTCTTTACTAGACTAGCCAAGCCCAGTTCCTGCAACCGTTCGTTGTATGTTTTAGCCTCTGGTCCCCTAATCATCCTGGTTGCTCTTCTCTGTACTTTTTCTAGAGTCTCAACATCTTTTTTATAATGTGGTGAACAAAACTGGATGCAGTACTCTAGGTGTGGTCTTACTAAGGCTTTATAGAGTGGTATTAGTATTTCCCTTGATTGTATCCCTCTGTTAATACAATTTAGGATTGATTGCATTATCGACCTGGAAGGATGGAAGGCTGAGTCAATTTTGATTCGGTCAGGATCGAACTGCTGGCAGTAGGAAGTCTGCAAGAGCAAGAGCACTTAGACTTATATACCGCTTCATAGTGCCTTGCAGCCCTCTCTAAGCGGTTTACAGAGTCAGCATCTTGCCCTCAGCAATTGGGGTCCTCATTTTACCGACCTCAGAAGGATGGAAGACCAAGTTAACCTGGAGCCAGTCAGGATTGAACTCCCAACAGTGGGCAGAGTTAGCCTGTAATACTGCATTCTAACCACTGTTTCACCATGGCTCTTAGGGAGGGAGTAGGGGGGAAAGAGAGATTGTAGATAGGCAGAAGATAGGGGAGAAAGGGAGAGAGATGATAACAATAGCCATAGCACTTAGAGTTATATACCACCTTCACAGTACTTTTCAGCC